CCTTCATGGATGTACCAGAAGTAATAAGCAGTTGATAAAGGTCTCCCACGCGGGTGCAGGGTCCCGAGGCCTTGGGCCGTCCTCTGCTGCTCTCCCAGGCCACAGCAGGGAGCTGGGTGGGAAGTGGAGTAGCCAGGACATGCACCCTCACCCATGGTGGATACAAGGTGAAGATTTAGCTATTAGGCTGTTGCACTGGGCCGAATAAAACTTGTTTCTCAAAAAAAAAAAAAAAAAAGAAAAGCATACCACTTGTGATACCCACAGAGTAGCCTGGGTGTGTCCTCTTTGCACTCTGTCTTCTCGTTAACATGCGCTGTGTGAGGCAACAGGTGATGATTCAAGTAGTTGGGTTTTGAGGCTCATGTGGGAGAATTGGATAGAATTCAAATAGATACGTGTGTGTGTGTATTTATATAAATTTACTTACTTAAAGGGCAGATTTAGAGGGAAGGAGAGACAGAGTGAGAAAGATCTTCCATCCATTGATTCACTCCCCAAATGGCTGCAGTGGCTAGAGCTGAGTTGATCCAGAGCCAGGAGCCAGGAGCTTACTCCGAGTAGCCTATGTGGGTGCCCAAGGCCTTGGTCCCGCCTCTGCTGCTTTCCCAGGCCATAAGCAAGGAGCTGGATTAGAAGTGGAGCAGTTAGGACATGAATCAGTGCCCATGTGTGATGGTACGCTCAGGCTGCAGGATTAGCCTGTTGAGCCCCAGTGCAGCTCCAGAATGCGTGCATTTTTAGTGATTAAAGTAATGTTCTACTAGGAAGGTCTTCTGGATTGAATTTTTGGTCTAGGAACTCGTAGTCTGGAAGGACCTGACTTGGACCTTGGCACTTGAGTGCTCAACATCTGATCCTCCCTGGGGATGCTGGGCAGTGGCCCGGAGCCCTGCTCCTAGCGGACCTTGAACCGGGACGTCCCAGATGCCCCAGAGATCAGGTGCATTCAGTGCCTTCTCTACTTGTGACGTTTTAATGTATGATGGGTTTGTCTCCATGTCACTCCATCATTTGTCCAGGAACAGCTACATACAACTGTTCAAATAAATGTTCAATAATCCGCCCAGAGATAAACTTCATTAGCAACCTGGTTCTCGTTAGATGCATGAGACGTAAGCTTTTCCAGCATAGTTCCTATATTCTGTGCTGAGCAGTAAACCCCATTAGAAGGAGACAGAGACCATCCTACTTGCCCATTCCACATCCAGTCCCAAGGCGGACAAACGTCAGCCAGGAACAGGTGAATGGACCCAGGGCTTGGACAGAGACTGCCTTGCAGAAGAGCTGTGGTCCTGTCCCCAAACTAAGGAACACAGTCACTCCAGGGCTTGGGGGCAGGGTGAGGTTTACATAGAATTTAAAAGCAGCAACTTTTGGTAGACCAGAAACACCTGGCAAAGCTGTGGATGGAGGGGGCAGTATCAGGCCTGGCCAATAAGGGAAAGCGGGGTCCTGTTTTCCTTAGGAATTACAGACTCAAGCCAGACATGGGGTGTCGTGACCAGAACGCCTGGCTGGAGCTCCGCCTGGGGTGGGGAGTCCCAGATGCTCCCTGTGTCCTGGAGGCAGGCAGGACCGTGTCCCATGGTGTTTACTGCGACAGTCCGCAACAGCAAGGTTTCTGATTTTAGTGAACAAAATCCGTCTGGGAGTGACAGGTCAGCTTTCACTCAGAGAAGGAAGATGTGACACTTTACCGTTTACCACGGCCAAAAATATTGCCTCCTGTTAACTTTGCCGCTCACTTTCTCTTTGTCTAATTATATTCTGGTCTGTGACAGATGTTGACTGGTCAAGAGAAATGTTTACTTTTTCAATATCAACTGTACTTCTCTGCTTTCGGCTTTTTGTAAATCTAAGTGCTAAGAGACCTGGTCACGTACCTGCTAGGCATGAAGGGAATTTTGCGATAGCCTTGCCACTCAGAACATGTACTGCTTTCCAAAATATATGTCCAGAGAGAGGAATTGTATGGCGTGCTTTGTGATCAGTGACAATTCCATCAGAATTAGCTTTATGGAAAGAACAAAACACACATTTTCAAACTTACATTTTCAAGTTTCGCAATTCACTTTACAATCATGTCTCCCTCAACTCCTTAATATAAAACTCTCTTATATGGCACATAAATTCCAGACAGTTGGCATCTCCACATTTCCTTAGCCCTAGGCGCTTATCTCCAGTCAAGTCTTACATCTCGAGGGCTTAGAAACTAAAGAAGGGAATACAGGCATTGAAAAGGCATGTCTGTGAGTGACAGGCTGGGCCAGGCCCTGGATGTGAGAACTGCGTGAGCTGTCCTTCCACTGGCCTGCAGTCAACCCGCTGCCCTCTCTGTTCCTTCGTTTCAGGTTTCATTTTGAAGGACCCTGCGGCACCACCCTGCCTGAAGCCCTGGCCCGCCACGAAACAGAAACTGGGCCTTAGGTATCCTGGCACAAAGGAAGCGATTATAGTGTAGAAACAAACTGGGTGATAAACATGGGAGAAGTGGAGACCGGTGGCCTAACGTGGGAACATTGCAACTGTCCTCTGATGCCAACCTGTTGAGAAGACATAGGGGTTTAGAAGTAGCCATTGCAAGCTTTTTAAGAAGAAATTAGAGAACTTTGGGTTGATGCATGTTACGTGGGCTGAACTTAAACATGAATATGTGTTTGTTGTCTTTGGTTGGTTATTGGGAAGGCAAAACACGATTTATGATTAGATTGTCTAAAATATATATTTATCCTGACTGCATTTTTTTTTTTGCCATTTGGGCCAAGAGGTAAGACTGATCTTCTAATTTTTACATTATTTTAATGAAAAATAAAGCTGCTCATTCCAGGAGGTGTTGTATGGTATAGAGATGTTACCGCCCCACCCCCCCCCCCACCACCACCAGAGGTGTTTCTGTTGGAGAGGTTTTTTTCAGTGTTACCATGGTCGGCTGCCTTACATCAAAGAATACGAAAGAACTCGGGAAGAGAAGAAAAAGTAGCAGTAAAAGTTGAAAATCAGAAAAGAAAAAAAAGTTGAAAATCAGGTTGAGAAAAAAGAACATCCACAGATATGCACCCCAAGAATATACACAGTTGCTTGAAGTTGAGCACTGGCCAGCTGAGCAGCAAGGAGAGCAGTGGAGGCGACGGCCACTGTTACCATCTTCAGTATCTTCATGCAGAGGCTGCCAGCCTGTGTGCATTCTACTAAGCTTTCTCACAGATTAGATTCTAAAAAGGGACTTACAAAACCAAATGAAGAAGCAAAAGCTATTGTTTTTTTTTTTTAAAAAAAGATGTATTTGCTTTTATTGGAAAAGAAGATCAGATTTGTAGAGGAGAGACAGAAAAATCTTCTGTCCATTGATTCACTTCCAAAATGGGCACAATGGCCGGAGCTGAGCTCATCTGAAGCCAGGAGCCTCTACCAGGTCTCCCACACGTGCACAGGGTCCCAAGGCTTTGGGCCGTTCTCAACTGCTTTCCCAGGCCACAAGCAGGGAGCTGGAAGGGAAGTGGAGCAGCCAGGACACGAACCGGCACTTCTAGTACAGCCCGAGGTCCTCTGCTTGGGGAAAGGGGACTGGAACAGCCAGGAAGGCTGTGCCCTGGCTCAGACGATCTGACTGTAGTTCTCGTTGGTGGTTTCCAGTCATTTTTGGAAACTTTAGTCCCAGCGTTCTGTTGTTTTATCTATCGCTATTACTATTATTTGGTCCACATTTAGTATTGTTTTAAAATTAGAGACTGTTGGGCCCAGCACGGTGGCCTAGTGGCTAAAATCCTTGCCTTGAATGCACCTGGGATCCCATATGGGTGCCAGTTCTAATCCCGGCAGCTCCACTTCCCATCCAGCTCCCTGCTTGTGGCCTGGGAAAGCAGTCGAGAACGGCCCAAAGCCTTGGGACCCTGCACGTGTGGGAAAGCTGGAGGAAGTTCCTGGCTCCTGGCTTCGGATCGGCATAGCATTGGCCGTTGTGGTCACTTGGGGCGTGAATCATCGGATGAAAGCTCTTCCTCTGTGTCTCTCCTCTTCTCTGTATATCTGACTTTGCAATAAAAATAAATAAATCTTTAAAAAAATTAGGGACTGCTTATACATTAGAAGACATGAAAGGAGAAGAAGTTGGAATACAAAATATATGTGAGAGGCAATTCAATTTAGCGCCGTCTACTGGGTGACAGACATTAGAAATAAAGCGCTTCCACTTGGTGCTGTTATGAGGGCTGTGAGCCAGGTCCAGACAAGACTACGAGGGGCAGGAGTGTGCCCTGGGGCTCTCAGCTCCTCCGGGAGGTGGGGGGAGCTCCGTGGAGGAGCTCTCCTGCCACTTGGGGGCACAGCGACCATGGTGAGGAGCACCGCAGCTCGGTCAGCCCCTGTGGGTGATGTGGCAGGGAGTACTGCCATGCCGCCGGCAAGGTCAACCTGGGACAGTCCCATGCGCAGATGCACAGTAAGTCAAGAAGTCCCTCACGGCTTCATACTGGCCCTGCCTTCTGGGAGTGACAGCAAGCCGAGGCTGTGTGGGGCCAGGAGCCAGGGGGACCAGGCTTTGGGGTCTCCTGAGCCTACAACCCCCAGGCATGGGCTGAGGCTGTGTGGGGCCAGGGGCCAGGCACTGGGGCACTCTGACCACCGGGCAGCTGCAGCCACGTTCACCAGCCATGGCCACCTCCCACGCGGAGTGCAAAGTGGCCTGAGCCGAACCCAGAGACGCCGACGGGCTGGGCCGAGCCAGCGATGGTCAGGGCAGCGACACGGCAGCGGAGGCCGGCGGTCACCCAGTGGTCACCGGGCGGGGTGACCCGCTCCAGCCCAGTCTCACAGTGCAGTTGTGGGCAGCCGAGCGCTCCCTGGAGGACACCAGGGCTGCCGCGCCGCGCCCACCGCCCTTAGTGCGCACGCGCGCCCGCCCGTCATGGCACCTCCGCACCTGCAGGGGGCGATGGCAGCCCGCGTGGTGCGCTCTTTCCCTTCGCGCTCTGCTGGCGGCTGCTTCCGGTGTCGGGCGCCTGGCGATCCGGCGTGTGGTGGGCCATGGTGCAGCTGCGGCCTCGCCCGTCCCGCACCCCGGCGCCGGCTGAGGCGATGGTGGACGAAGGCCAGGCGGCCTCGGAGGAGGAGGAGGCGGAGCTCGGGCTGCGGCTGGGGCAGCCGAGCAGCGGCGCGGCGGCCGAGCCTCTGGAGGAAGACGAGGACGCGGACGGCGAGTGGGACGACGAGGCCCCGGACGAGCTCACGTTCGCGAACGCCCAGGCTGAGGCGAGGGAAGAGGAGCGGCGAGTGCGGGAGAGCGCGCGCAGGTGGGGCGGCCGCGGCCGGGCGTGGGGTGCGGTCCGCCCGCCGCCGCCCCGCGCTCATCCTCCCTCCTTGCGGCAGGGACAAGGCGCTGCTGAAAGAGAGAAGGAAGCGACGCGAGGAGCTGTTCATCGAGCAGAAGGTTAGGGCGGGTGGGGGGCTGCCAGGACTCGGGGTGCCGGTGGGGGCTGCCAGGGATCGGGGTGTATGTGGGGGCTGCCAGGGTTTGGGGTGCCTGTTGGGGGCTGCCAGGGTTGGGGGTGCCTGTGGGGGCTGCCAGGGTTCGGGGTGCCGGTGGGGCTGCCAGGGATCGGGGTGCCGGTGGGGCTGCCAGGGCTCGGGGTGCCGGTGGGGGCTGCCAGGGTTCGGGGTGCCGGCGGGGGCTGTCAGGGTTCGGGGTGCCTGTGGGGGCTGCCAGGGTTTGGGGTGCCGGCGGGGGCGGCCAGGGTTGGGGGTGCCGGCGGGGGCTGCCAGGGTTTGGGGTGCCGGCGGGGGCGCCAGGGTTGGGGGTGCCGGCGGGGGCTGCCAGGGTTCGGGGTGCCGGCGGGGGCTGTCAGGGTTTGGGGTGCCTGTGGGGGCTGCCAGGGTTTGGGGTGCCGGCGGGGGCGGCCAGGGTTGGGGGTGCCGGCGGGGGCTGCCAGGGTTTGGGGTGCCTGTGGGGGCTGCCAGGGTTTGGGGTGCCTGTGGGGGCTGCCAGGGATCGGGGTGCCTGTGGGGGCTGCCAGGGTTGGGGGGTGTATGTGGGGGCTGCCAGGACTCGGGGTGCCTGCGGGGGCTGCCAGGGTTCGGGGTTCCGGTGGGGGCTGCCAGGGTTGGGGGTGCGGGATCGAGAGGTCTGAGGGGTTTGTGAAGGAGGCTCCGTGAGAGTCCACAGCAGGGACGTGCTCTGAGGGCCACGCGGGTGCAGAGCACCTGCCGCCCGTCTGTTCCCCATCCCGTGGCCCCCCGCTCCTCGGAACGCCTGGTGGGCACTGGTCTCTTGTTCGTCTAGAAGTGGGGCTCTCCTTCAAGTTGGCAGGTTGGACATGCTCGTCACTTGATGCCTATTTTGAAAAAAATGTCTTTATTCCCAAAGAAAAGAAAACTCCTTCCAGATGCCATCCTAGAACAGTTGGCTGCAGCTCCACAGGCCACGTAAGTAAGCATGCCCACCTGAGTTAGATACTGGCCCACGCAAACCTCTGTGCTATAAGGAGTAACAGATCCGAAATGAAAACGTGGGTGGTATAGTCCACTCCTTTTCACCCTTTGCCATTTATTTTCTTCCATTTCCATGGCCAAACTCACTTTGTGTTTGCCTTGCAGCTCTGTGAGCCGGGGAGGGGGCGGGGTGCACGCTCACCCACAGACTCCTGTGAGCCGGGGAGGGGGCGGGGTGCACGCTCACCCACAGAGGTCCCGAGTTTCCTCCCTAATCCGTCCTTCTCCCTGCTTCCCATCTTGGCTTTGCATTCCACTTGTTTATGACCAGAATCTAAAATACTCTTCTTCCCTTGAGTATTTGTGACTTTTTTCCCCTTCTTCTTCCCCTCTCTTTCCTTTATGATTCAGATGTTTAATCCCATTGTGAAATGTAGGCCAGTAGTTCTCACATCTACCAGTTACCCAGATCCCAGATAGCATTAAACTGGCTTTGGCCAAATTTTCACCTTTAAAACCAACTTAGTACCTCTTCCTGCCCAGGCGGCCATCTCTGCCTGTCTTCTGCTATAGCGTTTATCCTCTGTGGTTTTTCCAGATACAAGATGCGGGTCCATTTCTTTTAACTGCATATTTTGAATTCTGTCATCTGTTCTTAAATCCTGTATTGGCCACAGCATAGTTTCTGTAGAATCTTGCTGGTAATGCTTCCAGGTTTATGTTTTGAGAAGACACCCCCAGCCTAGTCATACTACTTTAATTGGGAGTTGGTGGCAGGGCACAGGGTGGGGGCTGAATATATGTGTAAGGTCTTGTTTCTAAAATCACACGAAATTGTGCGGCACGTTAAAGTAACCTTTGTGTTTTTGCTTTTTCTGCAGTGTAAAGAAATTACCAGGAAAGCAGAAAGAAGGTATGAGCTCTTCTAACGCACTTTATAGGAAGGGCTGAAGGACAGATTGAAACCACCCGTCTGCTGGTTCGCCTCAGATGCCTCCAGCAGCCAGTAGCCTGGTGACCAGTCAGCAGCCTCAACTCCCTCACCTCCCGCCTGCCCGCGTCTGCATTGGCAGGAAGCTGGCCTTGGAATAGGAGAGCAGAACTCAAAACCCAGACACTGAGGCGGGCTGCAGGCACCAACGTTGTGTATTTGCAAGCACTTCAGAAAGTTCTTGGGAGATGCAAAAGTATTTGCTGTAGGAGGGGAAGGGTGGGGGTTGGGGGACGACAGCACCAAAATCCTTTGAAATCTTCACCTAGACATTCACTCTGCATGAACTTTGTGAAGACCCCTGGTGTTTTCAGTGATAGGTTATTGGTGTTTAGGGCACGACCAGTCCTGGCTAAGTTAGCTTCAGTTTGTTCCCTGTGTTCCCTACACATAAAAGCAGCATCTACTGTCGTAGCTAATGAATACAAAAGTAAACTTCAGTACATACTCCTGCTACCTAGAAAATCTAACAATTTTTTTTTTTCAGCTAATTTACAAAAGAAAAAAGAAGAACGTGAAAAAGAGAGTGACTCCAAGAAAGTTAAAGTGCAGAAAATACAGTCTGTCGGGTAGTACATTTTTGTTTTTCACCTGGGATGTACAAGGGACATTTTGAGAGTGAAATAATTGGCTTTACACTTTAATTGTAGCAATTTCAGCTCTGATTTATAGAAAAATTAGTTTTGATATTTTAAAGACACATGTCCTCCACTAAAATGTTAGTCTGTTTCTTGGAAAATAATTTACTAGCAGTGTTTATTATTTCATCTGAACACAAAATTGGAATTCTATAACTGTTTATGACATTATAACAGTTGATTTTGAAAGTATGTATCACTCTCATGTTATTTCAACCTATTGTATTAATTACCAGCCAGAATAAAAGTTATGTGGCCCTGAGGCTCAAGGACCAAGAGCTGAGAGATGCGAGGCAGCAGGCAGCCAAGGCCTTCCTGCAGCAAGCTTTATATGGCCCAGGAACCAGGAGAACTACCGGTAATGTTCTCGGTGCTCCGTATGTCTTCTTGTTGCATGTGAGACAAGCAGTGAGTAATCCAAGTAACCATCTCTTGCAGTAAATAAGTTTCTGTCTCTGGACAACAAGCGCTCAGCAGTGAAGAAGGCTGCTGCCCAGTTTCTGAATGACACCTGGGGTAAGCACCAGTTCTGTTTTCTTCACTTGAAGGTATAGTGGATCTTTCCCCCCCCCCCCATATAATAATTTTTATGTTAACAGAAAAAATATTTATTTGAAAGGCAGATCTTCTGCCCACTGACTTACCCCTCCCAGATGGCTGGGGAGACAGGCCAGGCTGGAACGCCATTGGGATTTCCCTAGTGGGCGACTGGGCACTTGGGCCATCCATCTTCTGCTGCTTTCCCAGGCCATAAGTGGGGAGCTAAATCAGAAATGGAGCAACCAAGACTTCAACTTGCACCTATGGGATGCCAGCATTAAAGGCAGTGGCTGTATATAGCGCCAGCACATAACACCAGCCTCCACGTTAACATCTAAATAGCTGGTTCTAAAAAAGGTGTCTGTGTAGGATATATGTACTTCTAAACCTGACAGTCTGTATAGTCATAACAAACCAGAGAATCTGGGGGGAAAAAACCTGAATTGTTTTTTGGAAATTTTATCCAAGTTAATATTGTTATTGCATAAAAATTTCTGTTCTAGGAACCCAGAGAAAACAAAACGCCAAGAAGTTTAAGAGACGCTGGATGGTCAGAAAGATGAAAACTGCTAAGAAATAAATCTAATCTAAATGAAAAATATGCATTCTCTATGTATAGAATTTGAAAGTGTAACAATTATTTTCTCTTTTTAAAAATCCATAAATTATTAAATACTTAGCTATCTTATCCTTATAAACTACAAGGAGTCATGTCTTTTCTTCTGTCCTTTTACCTGAATATAAGCAATACCCACACCCATGACGGTGCTTCCTCTTCTTCCCCCAGTGTGGGTGTGTGGCTGGGAAGTCACAGAGAAAAGATCAGTGGACATTCAGCTACAGTTCCCAAAAGTACTTCGGTGCCTATTGATGAGATTTTGTTCATACAGAATACTGCCTTGTAATGCTCCTCCAGGAATGAGATTTGTGACAAGGTACAGACCTGAAGTATCTGATCTTCCTCAAGAAGATTCAAGCCCCAGCTGAGTAACACCCCTAACTAAACCAAAGCATAAGGTTAATTTCTGTTGAACAACTTTTAAACTAGCTTGGCTAGCCAGCAAGTGTATATGCTATATTGTAATTATGTAGATAAGGAAATTAATTTCCTATTGTCTTTTTGTTAATACAAACTGACATTTCCTATTTAGTTCTACTCTGTAAAATAAAAAACATCTTTTTCTAATTTTAGATCAGTCTTTAGTAAGTACCTAATATATTAACTCACTTGACACTAGTATCTGTAGAAGTAAATTTTTAATGGCTGGTTAATTATATCACTACATTTTTATTGCAATATAGTACTCATCTTAAGCACTTAAAAATGGAAGGTGTACAAAGATTAAATTAAGACACGGTAAATTGACTAAATATTTGGTTTTTATATAAATAAAGGTCATAACCACACTGTTGACATGTAATACTGTTATAATACAACAGTTAACTTGTGAGTCTACAACAGAAACCATCTGTAGTTAAACAGGAAACAAGGCTGAAAGGACCATGTTAAAACAAAACTACTGGGACTAACAGGTCGGGATTGTAAGTAGCAACAAACATATTCACTCAGCTCCTGAGTATTTCAAGTTTTACAGTACACATTAAAAATGATTTCTTCCATCAACACTATAAATTCAAACTGTCGATGTTTATGCATTTTGCAAGTTACACTGATTGGATGCTTATATAGGAGCGGGGGTCAGAACGTCTTCCCAATTTGAAGTTTTACATCACCCACATGCTAACACAAACACAACTTGTTCCATTTTCCTTTCCCCCTCTCCCCCACACAAAGAAGGCAGGATTTTTTGGTTTCTTTTAAGTAATTTATAGGATTTGTGATGATCAATTTAAATGTCTGAAATTCAGCAATATTTAACTCTTAGACAACTAAGAGGTTAAAGATGGAAAATAATTTCTCCTAACACTAAGTTAGAAAATCATTTGCATCATGCTGTAAACTAGGAAGCAATGTAAAGCGACAAAAACCTGTCCCCAGTACATAATTAAAAAGTCTAAACTTCAAATCAGCAGAGCTGGTCTACTTCCGTGTTGACTATGCCACAGTATAGGTGTGAGCTTGAAATGCACGGCTAATGCAGGTAGTCCTCCACTGTGGCAAAAGCACAGGATCCAATTCCTGATCGAGCCATCAGTCCCAGACACTGTGTGGCCTGTCCCATTGCTAGGGCAAGTGGAGGCTGCTTTGGCAGATTGTGAGTTTCTGAGGAAACAGGATTTAAGAATGGAAACAGCAATTAGTAAGACAATTTTAAAAACATTGTACCAGGAAAATACTGTTAAAACGGGCATGGTTGAAAGCGGCCAAAGACACATGTTGGCTTAATGTCACCTTTGGTTCAGAGCTTATGGTAGGGTTGTAGAATAAATATAACTTGCATAAGAAATGATTCAAAAAAAATTCAGGACTTAAATTTATGGGAGCTTAAGAATATGTAACAACATTTCTGGACTTGGGAAATCCAAAGAATATAAGAATTACAATTTATATAATGTTAACACATAAATGCACCTGTTTAATACTGTGTTACGTTTATACATACGCACATCTATTTACAATTTTTAATCTTGTCATTAGTCCTAGTAAAGTATGGTACTTTATATGAGGGAATTTTCAGAAAGTTCATAGGAAAAATAACTCAGTATGAAAACACTATGCTTGGATCTCAAAAACTGCACCAAAATTTCTCATTTCCATGAAGTCATCAAGGTGCCCTCATATATCCTGGAAAATGGTCTGTATTTAGCAGTTCCCCTGAAGAACCCAAGAAATTAAATATCATAAATAAGGAAGGAGTATCACTAGGATTCCTGACCGATGGCATCACATTCAGACTACTCAAACCTTGAGCTCTTCCACGCACTCACTGCTTCACATCATAGCTGCTCCATCCAAACCTGCCCTTTCCTGATCTCGTCTCACTCTTGTAGACCAAACACACTTAAACTATGTTTTCATTAATATCCCCAAATTCTTACTGCATTGGCTGCTTGGCACAAGAAGCTCAAGTCTAATTAATTCACTAAACAAAATATGTTGGAGTACATAACACAATTGTAGACCACTTTAAATTCACACTTTGCTTCTCAGCAGCGTAATATGTTGAATTTTAACACAAGGATCATCAAAGTATTTTTCTAAATGAGAAGAGGCAGATATTCACGGCTGGGAGAAACATGAAACATGAAACATGAAAAACATGTGCACAAAAACTATTCTCCAGACATTCAGTGATGGTTCTCAGCCTGTTTTTATTATTTAGAGCACATAATCTGAGATGAAGACCAACTGCTGTGTGTTGAAGTTGCTCATGATTTTATGAAAATATAAATATAATATATAATATATAAATTCCAGCACAAAATATTCAGAATCCAACTGAGGTGGTACTTTTTGGCTTTACTTACCTAATATTGCACTGTTAAGAGCTGAGCACACAGGTTCTCTCTGTATCGGGTCAAGCTGGTTTCCAACTGGGCTGTTCCAAGGATCTGAATATGCTAGTAAACTGAAGGCATCCTGTTGAAAACATATCAATTTTGTTTTCAATGTGAATAGCTCACAACAGTTCCAATGTTCAGACGCAGATAAAATACGGCTTTAATGCACCAGGCCACTGTAACCTCTAAGCCCATTTATCCCTATGGTTGGGAAGCTTTACATTTTTACAGAATTGACTTAGGCAACTTAGTCTAATTCATTTTCATTTTTCTCGGTAATAGCCATATGCATAATGAGCCTCTTTGCTGCCATCCCCATACTCCATTTTGAAAATAAGGAGGGAGGGCAACAGGCCAGCACTGGTTAGGGTAGACAGGAAATTAAGCATTCAGATACTGTACCATGTAACTTATCACCTTCAGGAACTTCATATTAAAAGGACAAGGTTTCAGGCCCAGCAGCGTGGCCTAGCAGCTAAAGTCCTCACCTTGAACACTCCAGGATCCCATATGGGCGCCGGTTCTATCCCGGCAGCCCCGCTTCCCATCCATCTCCCTGCTTGTGGCCTGGAAAAGCAGTGGAGGACGGCCCAAAGCTTTGGGACCCTGCACCCGCGTGGGAGACCAAGAAGAAGTTCCTGGAACCTGGCTTCAGATCGGCATAGCATCGGCCGTTGCGCTCACTTGGAGAGTGAATCATCGGATGGAAGATCTTTCTCTCTGTCTCTCCTCCTCTCTGTATATCTGACTTTCCAATAAATAAATAAATCTTTAAAAATAGAGTGGAGCAAATTAAAAGTACAATAGAGAGTCTCCAAGACAGAATGAAGGAGGCAAAAGAAAGAATCTCAGAATTAGAAGATATCCTCCTTTCTGTATATCTGACTTTCCAATAAATAAATAAAATCTTTAAAAAAAAAAAAAGGACAGGGTTTCTCTGCATCTTTTTTTTGGGGAGGGGGGTAGGGGCCACATACATTACATTGATGTCAGCTTTTCAAATTTGATATATTAGGAAAAAAAAATTACTTTGTTCTGTTTTTTAACTTTTATTTTCATTATCTGAAAGGCAGAGTAACAGAGCCACAGACATCTCCCATCCACTGGTTCAAATTCCCGTAAGAGCCAGGGCTGGGCCAGGATGCAAGAACCCCATCTGTATGTGCCACGTGGGTGACAGAGGCCCAAGCACCTGGACCATTATCTGCCTTCCAGGATGGATTAGCATCACACATGGAACAGCTAGGATTCAAAGTGGCACTCCACTGTGGGACAGAAGCATCCCGAGTGCAGTTCCATAATGTATATCTTTGGTCACTTCACCTAAAAACCTTAAGATAAGTGGGACCAGCATTGTCATACAGTAAGTTAAGCTGATGTTCACAATGCTAGCATTCCATACTGTAGTGCCAGTTGATGGCTGGTTGCTCTGCTTCTCATCCAGCTTTCTGCTAGTGTACCCCAGGCAAGGCTGCAGAGGACGGTCCATGCGCTTGGTTCCCTGCCACCCACGTGTGAGACCAACATGGAGCTCCTGGTGCCTGTCAAGCTATTTTGGCTCTTTTAGCTGTTAAGGTAATGAAGTAGTAAGAAGACTTTCTTTCCACTGTCCCACTGCTCCCTCTCAATACCTTTCAAATAAATCAATTTAAAAATAAAACTTGGGTCTGTGAGCCCAGGGAGCAGGGGGGTCCTTAGGTCCATCTGTGTGGCAAGTGACACGTCTGTGGCCCCTTGGTGTGGAGGGTCCAGTGGGGCCCGGGTCATTTGGCCTGGGTCCTTGGGCCCACCTGCATGTTGGTGCCTGGTCCATGACCACTGCATGTAGGGGGGTCCGTCAGGGACCAGGCTGCCTGGCCTGGGTCCTTGGGCCCACCTCTGAGGGCTTGACCTTAGAGGAGGAGACTTAGCAGTGGTCGGCAGGCTCGAATACACAAGCGGGAGATGGCAATCCACTGCAGCCTGCAGAGGACAGCTGGTGCCATAACAGAGGAAGGAGAACAGAGCAAACTGGACATCTACCCCAGCCAAACGGTGACAGCAAAAATCCACTCTAATGGCCCACTCTAAGGTCCAATGTGTCAGTCAATGATACTGGGAGGGTGACCATCCTTTGATCGGCAAGATCAATAGCATCTCAGAACTGTCAAAACCACTTGGGCAGAACTCTTTCTTTCTTTCTTTTTTTTAACATTTATTTATTTTCATTACAAAGTCAGATATACAGAGAGGAGGAGACAGAGAGGAAGATCTTCTGTCCGATGATTCACTCCCCAAGTGACTGCAACAGCCAGGGCTGTGCTGATCTGGAGCCAGGAGCCAGGAACCTCCTCCAGGTCTCCCACACGGGTATAGGGTGCTAAAGCTTTGGGCCATCCTCGACTGCTTTCCCAGGCCACAAGCAAGGAGCTGGATGGAAAGTGGAGCTGCTGGGATTGAACCGGCACCCATACAAGATCCCGGTGCGTTCAAGGCGAGGACTTTAGCTGCTAGGCCACGCCGCCAGGCCCTGGGCAGAACTCTTGAACCATGCCTCACAACGGAAACCTGGGTTGATATTGAGTGGCCATTCCCCATACCTGGGTACTGGGGTGGTTGGGAAGCTGCGTATGATTTCTCCTCCCTTTCTTCCCCTTCCCCCAAACATAGAAAGAAGAAATGAAAAAGTTGGAGGCAATGATCACACCCATTTCCCCCTAATCCTCGATCCTTCCCATCCTGATCAATAATGTGAACATCATTAAAAATAAAAATTTAGGTGCCTGGCACAGTAGCCTAGTGGCTAAGGTCCTCTGCACACTCCAGGATCCCATATAGGCTCTGGCTGTAACCCCGGCAGCTCCACTTCCCATCCAGTTCCTTGCGTGTGGCCTGAGAAAGCAGTCAAGGATGGTCCAAAGCCCTGGGACCCTGCACCCACACGGGAGGCCCAGAGGAAGTTCCTGGCTCCTGGCTTTGGATCAATGCAGCTCAAGCCAGTGGAGCCACTTGGGGAGTGAACCATCGGACAAAAGATCTTCCGCTTTGTCTCTCCTCCTGTCTGTAAATTTGACTTTCTAATAAAAATGAACAAATCTTTAAAGGCAAATAAATACAAATTTTAAATTAAAAAATTAAATAAGAAAAAGAAAAACTTAGAAACAACTGGCACAACCCCTGCTCCTGTTTGCTTCCACAGGAGGCACATGTTGGGGTAGTTTCAAACACTGGCTTCAAATCCACCAGGCTGCACCACCAGCTAGGTGTGGGGCCCCTTGGCAAGTAACGACCTAGCAAGTTTCATCCTTTGACAGGGAATATAAAGTCCTACACTTCACAGAATTACATGAACACTAAACATTGCAATGTCAATTTATTCCAGCTATTGACTTGTATCTTAAGGAAAACATCAGTACCTCGCGTGATATTATTTAGTGCACACTTAAAGAATGTAAGAAAATATCAACAGGATACAGGTTACCCTCTGTAAGGCAGAAAGCAGACACAGGAGAGGCGCTGTAGAAACTGTAAACTGACTTCAGAAATTTAACACTTTACACATGCTCTGTCCTGCAATGGCCAAAGAACACAACCACCTACATTCAGGTGTACAGGCAGCAAGACCACTCCCACTGGTCACCTCGCCCGTGTTCCGAAAGCACGAAATGCAGAGAGCTACCTGGTCATTGGGCTCTCTCCCTTCCTTACCCAAACGGGCTCTGCACTGAGGACGACGACTAACTCACTAAGGAAAGCTGTCCAGGCAGTTTGAGGCTGCGTGTGTGGACCACCTACACTAGGAAGCACACCCAGACATGCAGCTGTATTCTTGTGTTGCCAATTACAGTAACATCTCCTTGAAGACAAAGCCTGGCAAACCCCTTCCCTGCAGCTACCCCCAAGGGCAAGCCAGCTAACAGTAACCTGCATGCCAGGCAGCTACTTGCTTCTGTCTCTTGCCCCCAGCCCAATGAAAACTTACCACAGAAAGATTATCCTGTACAGAGAACTCTAATCATAGTAATTCTAAAAACTGGTTGTTGCTCAAGACTTAATTCACGCTGCAACTACCTAAGGAGGCAGCACCCTTCTGGAGAGGATACACTGAAGGACTTGCACATCCAAGGAGCAACTGGAACACAGAAGCACTTCACCCAAACTGTTATCAAGGGTCTGCATCCTGACATGCCATCAGAAAGGTGAAATGCTGCAGAGCCAAATCTCAAACTGACTGCTCAACTGCTAAATCCTCATCCTTTTTAAAAAATATTTATTTTATTTTTATTGGAAAGGCAAATATACAGAGAGGAGGAGAGACAGAGAGGAAGATCTTCCATCCGATGGTTCACTCCCAAGTGGCCACAATGACCTGTGCTGTGCCAATCCAGGGCCAGGATTCCTCCAGGTCTCCCACACAGGTGCAGGGTCCCAAGGCTTTGGGCTGTCCTTGACTGATTTCCCAGACCACAAGCAGGGAGCTGGATGGGAAATGGAGCTGCCAGGATTAGAACTGGAGCCCATATGGGATCTTGGAGCATTCAAGGCGAGGACTTTAGCTGTTAGGCCACTGTGCCAGGCCCAATCCTCATCTTTCAAGTGCCTGCATCCCATAATGGGCTCCAGTTCATATCCTGGCTGTTCCACTTTCCACCCAGCACCCTGCTTGTTATCTGGGAAGACAGCAGAAGATGGCCCAAAGCCTTGGGACCCTGCACCCGCATGGGAGACCTGGAAGAGCTCGGGGCTCCTGGCTTCGGAAGGGCTCAGCTCCAGCCATTGCGGCCGCTTGGGGGTGTGAACCATCGCACGGGAGATCTTCCTCTGTGTCTCTCCTCCTTTTTGTATATACGCCTTTCCAATAAAAAAATAAATCTTTAAAAAAAAATTCTCTGTTGAGGTTGGTGCTATGACACATATGTCAGAACGAAGTCAAGCCAGGCAGAGAGGGGAGGGTCACACAGCTGGCACTCCACAAATGCTTTTGGGAAGGGGGAGTTTCTTGCTTCCCTAACTTTCTAGATGGCTAGTAAAGGAAAATTTTGCTCTCATTTTTCATTTTCTGCACAATTCAACAAATCTTTCAATACAGCTGCTGCCGGG